CTGCACTTCAACACAAGGTCGTCTCCTTCCCCGTCCCCCTCGAGTCCCTTGCCAACACTTGGAGCTCGTACCTCTGAAACGCCTGAACTGCAAAGGTTAGGCTTCTCTTCTTTCATTTAATGGTTGATTGTGTAAATAATAATTAATTATGAAACAGTTAATTCATAAATTAAGGTTAAGTTAAAGAAACAAACTTAGGGCATAGAGGGTGGGGGTCATAATTTAGGGATGCAATGGCGGCCAACCCAGAGAAACCGGTAGCGGATTGGACGACAAGGTCAAGTACGAAGTCTTGGGATTGTCACCATGATATTTCTACTCACGTGCGCAACAAGAGCAGGAGCCTCCAATCAAGAACCGACAAACTCAGCTTCTTTACTTCTCTATCCGACGCTTTTCACGTTCTAATCCACTGCCGACCCGGATGTCGTGAATTTTGCTGCGACCTCTACGACAGTGTCAAATCCCAGCTGCTGCTCCCATCTCCTGGAAGAAAACAGAGCTGTTCACAACAATGAGGACATGTATAGTTTTTTCTTGGATCACTTGAGGCTTGACGGAAATTCTTATGTGCTTGACATCCCGAAGACGGTATCTTTGTTAAATACGAGGCAGCGGAACTAGAGGATTCTACATTACCAACGGCAACACGCTCTGAGTCTAACCTTGACGATTGGACCCACCTTATTTCTGTCGACACGAATTTGAACTCTGAGGCAGAGCAGCTTCATAATACCGCAGGTAGGAAACAAAACCAAAACCAACCTCTTCAAAAGAATGTGCGTCCAAGGGCGACGACGCGCAGGGGTAGGAAACCAAAACGACCTCTTGCCATTAGTACCGCTGTTCAACGAACGTCGATTTCACAGTGAAAGAAGAAGAAGAAGAACAAAAGACCATCTTCCTGACTTAAAAAGGCCCCTGATAAAACAACAAGAACCTGTACGTATCGCAAATTTTGATGAATCCATCATTTTTGCTTTATTTCAATTTTTTATTCTTTGTTTTGCTTTATGTATATTGTTTTTAGCGTTTGAATCTAAAAATTTGAACATTTGGATTCCTTTGCTGCCTCCCAGGTGAATGTGGATCAGTGGTGGCACAAACATAAAGCCCGTGCACGGAAACACACAGAATTTAGAGATAAACTCATGGATGATCTTAAGAGACCTTACTCTGAGGAAGAGTACTGGATGCTTCTTAAACAACTTAGTGAAAAAAAACCAGTGCAAAGCCAAAGAGTTTTACGTTCGTGTACAAAAAGCTATGACGACGACACTCGTCCTCCAAAGTCTATTCTTGATTACCATGCTGGTAAGTAGGATTTATCGCTGTGCTTTGGTACATTCTGCCACCTGCAATGTAGCTTTTGCATGTATGACACTACCTTTGTTTGCCTGTGCATAATAAAATCTACTGACACGAGTACATTTAGTCTAGATTCCTTCATTTTAGTTTTCTTGTTGTCTCTTGGCATTCCTTGTTCAAGATCAGTAAATTTTGAGTTTCGAGCTGAATGTGCAGATCTTGCAAAGAGATTATATTCAGTTCGTGATGATCATCCCAGAGTTCTGAATCTCCTACGTGGATATTTCTATTGGATGACAGTATGTTTGGATTTTTAGCATCCTATACATTCGTTTTAACTGTTTTGATTCTTCTGGCGCTGCTCAATTCATGACGCCATCCTCTACGTGGAAATGAACATATCTTGCTTTTTACACATTTTAAGATTTAAAGTGTTCAGTATGTCTTTTGTGGGTAGATATTAACATTCATTCTAGATTGTAGTCCTTTTGTGCATTTATTCGGCTTTGTTTATGAGATTACTCAGCAACAGTTTGCTTTGAACCTTTCCTGTAGTAAGCTTTCTTATCAGTGTCTGCTTTAGCTCATTCTTCCTTGACAAGTCGGTAAGAATTATGTGCTCCTAGATCTGGGTCCACATGATGCCATGTAGCAAGTAGCAGCACTTTATGAAAGCATTCCTTCGCATGTATGAATGAGATTATTCACGAAATAAACCCTAAATAAGCTGAATCGTTTTAATATATATGCATGCTCCTTAATCATATCCTTCTGTCTTACCGTGCTTGCATACACGTAACCTTCTTATGAATTTAAACTTCCACATCCTGATCTTTTCTATTCATTAACCCCCCCCCCCCACAGAAAAAAAAAACAAGAAGAAGATAACAAGGGATATAAATATACTCAACGTCAAGTCATGAAAAGGCTTGTAAAAACATTGAATATTTCTAGATTATCGCGTGTATTCTGCAGAAAGAATGGCTTTCAAATAATGCATTGAGGATTATTGTTGGGAGTTGGGGCATGGAAAATTAGATGTTATGTGGTAGCATCACCTTTTGATTCATAATTTGTGCGATGACAGAATTTATCTCAAGAAGGATCGTTTCTACCATGGGAAGATGCATCATGTCTGGAGGTGCTGCCACAATAGGAAGGAGTCACTGCATTTGACTTTTTGGGAGATTTACCATGCTTGTTACTTGGCTGTAAAACTTTGGTCCTTAGTGGACCTACAATCATGTTAATTTTGTATATATTTGGTCCGTATATTATATATTCCTGCGCAAAATGCTGCAATTGATTTGTATTGCATTGGCATCTTTGAGTTGTACGAAGTTATTTGAATTTTGTTAATAGAAAATAGCCACAATTTATCCGTCTGAATAGGCCCAGGAAGAGACTATTATTGGACGGAGACAAAAGGATAAGGACGAGAATCAACATTCTGAAGTACAATATATAAATTATAAGCAGCCAATCTTAAAGATTAAACAATGGATCCAACTAGAGCACTCCGGCGGCACTGCTTGATGCCTCTCCGCTCCGGTCTCCGGTGTGGATGGACTACTCTGTGTGCATTCATTTATCCCAAGGGGGGGAAAAGGCAGTTCGCTTATTGATTTTTTTTCCCCCAATGAACAGTTCGCTTACTGATTGAATGGCATCCGTAGGGTTCTCTTTAATCAAGTTCCCATCTGATTATGTAATTAGAAAACAGAATGATGATTCGATGATCACGCTAGTGTATGTGCTAATCATAAATCACTGTTCATTACATCATTTCCGAACTAATCATCATCCAAACCAGTAAAATATATATATATATATATATATATTAAAAAAGGGAGATATTCTTGAGTGATAAGGCGATGTACAGAGCTGAAATAAATTGTAGGGAGGTGACTGCAAGAGTAGGATGCAGAAAAACTGAACAGTGTTTGGATGCTGCAATAAAGTGTGAGCTATAGACATATTCCTTCCTTTTTTTTTTCCTTTTACTCCAGTTTATTCTCTCAAAAAAAAAAACTCAAGTGAAAAATTACAGATGCAGATTGCTTGTACTCGTTAGAATTTGAGATAAATGTAAAAACAAATTAAAGCAAATTAACTTAAAAACCCAGACATAACAAAGAGAGGAAGAGAGTTGAGTAGAGTAGGACAAGTGGCCTAGCTGGTGTTACCGCTGATACTCCGGTCAAACTGGGTTGTGTGTAACTCAAACAAATGTGATTACGAAGCCCAACAATAAATACTGTTTGGATAATTTTGGAGTGTATTTGAATTAAAAAATTTATAATTAAAATTAGGATTATATTAAGTTAATAAATTGAGATTAAAAAAATTAGTTAATATAACGTGATTTATGTTTGAATATTTTTTTTTAAAGTCAGTTAGATAAATTGAAATTCGTTTAAATAATTTAATTTAAAAATCAGTTGAGATATTTAATACCAAAAATAGCATGAAATTTTTTTATCTTAAATAAGTATATTAATATTTTTTGATTAATTAATAAGTAAAAAATATTAAACTTAAAATCACAATTACGTTCGAAGCATTTCTGATCACTAAATACGAGTATCCCTCTTTTCAAGATAATTTAAAATTTAATTTATTATATTGTAAGGAATTAATTCCTCCCATTAAATCTAACCTAATAAGTTACATGTTCTAATGAGACTTTTTTTCATCATGTTCATGAGAAAGTAAAAGAAAAAATTTGCAATACAAAGTTAAAGAAATGAAGTATAAATATTACAAAAACAAAATCTTATAAATAAGACCAAATCCAGCATGGTGCCAATATCATTTCAACAATAGCCACCTTTTTACTGTAGTTGTCTTCATACCTCTGTTCTACTCTCAGCCATAGCCACCACCATGGGCGGAGCCTTGCCTAATTGGAGCAAGCATGTGGTAGCTTTCGCCTTCGCCTGCGGCACTCACACTGCTCCTCTACTTAACCTCGTTGTCAAGCTAGCACATGCTGCTCCTCACGTGAGCTTCTCCTTTTTCATCACCCTACAGAGCAAACATTTCCTCTTATCTTCCAAACTCAGGAAACACCATCCTCGAAAACATCAAGTTTTACACTGTCTTCGATGGAATCCCCGATGGTCTCGACCTCACCAACCACCACCCATCTTGGAGGCTAAACTTCTTTCTTGAAGCTAGTCGTCAAAACCTGAAACAGGGCCTAAGCATGGCGGTTTCAAGAGGAATTTGAGAGTGACGTGTGTGATTTTCGATGCTTTCGTGTTCATCTCTTGTTGTTGCTCAGGAGTATGGTGTGCCTTGGATTACTCTCTAGACTTCGTATACTTGTTCTCTCTCAGCTCACCTTCCACGCACAATTGATCTGCAAAAAGCATTGCGTTGGTGGTGGTGATGAAGATGGAAGCTTGGCTTTCATCAATCCTAGCTCTTCAAATATGAGAATTCAAGATTTACCAAAATCATTGTACATACTTTCATTATTTTTGTCTTAAATTTTGGAAAATAATTTGAATCATTATAAGTAAAGCTGCGATTTGGTTCTTCAATATCAGCTTGCGAGGTCACAAGAGAAGAAAGCACAGTGAAATGAAAAGCCAAGCTCGTGCTCTTAGGTTAGATAAATGAGAGGGGAGAGAAAGCACAAAAATTTAAAAGCTAATCAAAGCTTCCCAATGGCCAAATCAACGCGACGCAAGAGAAAAAGCCAATGCTAATAGCTTCTGAATTAACGCTCATTTAGCTTTAACCAATGTTGATATATTTTATTAATCCCAACATCATTTTTTGACTTTTTTACTTTCTAACCTCAATTTGACTCACTCTAACTGAAGTTAGGATGTAAACCAAATATGTACTTGATTTACTCATTTAGCATAAATAATAAAGAGATACTATGCATTTCAAAAATTACAATGAATGTTTATGCCATAATAATTTTTTCTTTTTACTTCTCCTTCAACCCTTTTTTCATATTCTTTCAACAATATCCCCCCCCTTATTATATCTCAATTAAATCAACGAAGTCTCAGTTTAATTGGTTATATTATTAATTTTGCTAATAATTTTTAATTATGTTTTTCATTTCAGTATAACTTTTATTTAAAATATGATGTCTTATATTTTAAATATGCACTTCACTCAAAAATAATGATTTTTAAACTAAATTTTTTAAAAAATATTTTAAAATTTTCATTCATTAATTTAAATAATTATAAAAGTATTTTATAAAAAGTCATATTCTTTAAAATCACCTTTAAGAAAAGTTTTCAAATGAAAATGACGATTAATCTCACTTTAAAACACTACTACGCCGCACGCATATACGCTGCCTTCCCCCCATTCTGCTCTCCGCTTAGCTACCTGGAAAGTGAAAACGGGAAAGAAAAACTGCGTCGATTGAGGCAACGAAGAAGATAATTGAATTGGATACTCGAACTATAATTTTGGGATTGAGCGAGAATTCAAATTGCCGATTACAATTAGAATGGAAGTGCAGCTTAATAACCCAAAGAACAAGTACAGTATCATCGTTCCTACTTATAATGAACGCCTGAACATCGCTCTCATCGTCTACCTTATTTTCAAGCACCTCCAGTAAATTCCCCATCTCTTGTTTTATTATTATTTATTTTATTTCTTTGTTCTATTTGTACTTCACTCATGACCTTCTGAAAATCTAAGGTGGCATTTTTACGTTTTGGGAAATCAAAATGCGTTCCTGTGCGTTTTTGAATTGTATGTCTTTGTTTCAACCCATAATGAAAAATTTAAGAGCAAGGCTGAGCTTTTCTGTAACTGTAAGACCCTGTTATCATATATTTTTTGTTATATTGTTCCTCGATGGTGATTAACGATCTTGCATTTTTGGAATGTTCCGTTTTGATTGATCAATCCTCAATTAGGGACATCGATTTTGAAATTATAGTTGTGGATGACGGAAGCCCTGATGGCACCCAGGATATCGTAAAACAGTTGCAGAAAGTTTATGGAGAAGATCGGATTGTAAGAATTACAAAACTTGAAATTGGATCTTTATATATATACCTTTTGGGTTCTCAGTTCTTGCTAATCTTATATTAAGCGTTTTCTCTCCGTGATTCCAGCTATTAAGAGCTAGACCTAGTAAGCTGGGTTTAGGTATTTACCTCATCCTTCTACTGTTAGGCCGTTATAAAATATGAAAAACTGGTATTTGATTCAATTAAATTCCAGGAACGGCTTACATTCATGGATTGAAGCACGCATCTGGAAATTTTGTTGTCATCATGGATGCTGATCTATCACATCATGTAAGTTGTGCCCTTGAGATTTGTATCATAGTTTGCCATTCGAAATGATTGAACTAGGGAAAATAAATGGGTTGTGGTAGAAGAAAAAAGGTGAAAAGAATTCGGCAGAATTGAGTTTAAACAAAATAATGTTTGGGATTAAAATTCACTTTAATGTTTTAGTTTTTTAATTCAACTGTCATTTGAACATGCCTGTGTCCATGAATGCAATTGGTAATCTTTGACAAATTAATAATTTATAGTCAGAGAGAATCATGCCATTCATTTGTTGTCTTCTACTCTAAGTTGAATTTGAATATCCATTTTGGAAATTTGTTAAATGAATTTTGTTCTTGTTACATCCTTTCGTTTACTGATTTGCTTAATTCTTCTGCAGCCAAAATACTTGCCCAGCTTCATCAGGTAAGAAAACCTTCTAATAATTTCTTGATTATTTCTTATCTGCCTATGTTATTTAATTTTCCATTTACGTTTTGCAGAAAGCAGTCAGAAACTAGTGCTGATATAGTCACCGGAACCCGTTATGTTAAGGGCGGCGGTGTGCATGGATGGAATCTGATGCGCAAATTAACAAGCAGAGGAGCAAATGTTCTTGCACAAACATTTTTATGGCCTGGTGTTTCTGATCTGACAGGATCTTTTAGGTATAAAACTTGATAAGTGCTATTAAGTAGTAGATTGAGAGTGTTGCTCCACTTGTTTAAGAATGATTTATCTCTTCTCTTTATAGACTTTACAGGAAATCAGTGCTTGAAGATATTATTAGTTGCTGTGTTAGTAAGGGATATGTCTTTCAAATGGAGATGATTGTCCGTGCTTCTAGAAAACGGTACAAGATTAAAGAGGTATGGTTCACCCTCCTTATGAATATGATAAACGGAGTGAGGGTATTTTTTGTGTTTTTTTCTTTTTTTCTTCTTCTTTTCCTTCTGATTATTAAGCTGCCTAAGTGGCTGTCGAAATAAGTGAGAGCATTGTTATTAAGCATCGGAAAATTCATCCATAAGTGTCCTGAATAACTTTTGTAATTTCTTTTCAATAGTAGCTTGCAATTTTTGACTTATTTTTGTCAAATTAAGTGTAGCTTGTGATTA